TAAGCTTCAAGTTTCTTTTCTGTACAAGTGTGCCCACTACTTCCAGACGTTTGAGGTGATGTTACAAAACTCACTTGGAAGTCTTGCCTGTCAATCGTGTCCTACAACAGCTTGCAGATCTCCTCACTGACCTAAACCCCTTGTGTTTTCTGTCTTCCTAACACCATTCTCTCCACTTCCCAAGCCTGTCAGATGTCCTCAGTACCAGCATGCAAGTTGTAGTCACTTCAAGGCTCTTTACTGCCTGGGGAGGTTTCCACACCTTGGGCACTCAAGGTTGGCTACAGGCTGGGTGGGGTACTCCTTTCTATCCTAAACTGGTCTGGTTTCTCTAGCTGCCCAGCAGAATTTGTTTTCTTGGATATGTCATTGGGGAAAAACAGTTCTGTGTTCTGTTTCCCCAAGGCTTTGTGAACCTTGGTTAAGTCCTGCTTCAGATTTTTCCTCTCACTACTGAAGGACTGCAACCTCTTTAGTCTCTTGCAACAAGGCAGCTGTTCCTTTTTCTTAAGCTTTTTTTGGTGTCTTCCTTTAGTGCCTTCTCTGGCTCTATTATATCCCTAAACTGCAGAGATTACAATTGCATGCAGTACACGGGATAGGAGTGCGGTGTGGTTTTAGACAGCAACAAAAACCTGTCTTGTTCTCAGTACCCTTCCATTTGTTATCTGGCGGTGGCTGCTGGTGCTTCTCTGCTCTCACACTCCGCCGGATCGGCTGGGGTGGCGGCTTCATCTGTGACCCGCAGACTAGCTGTGCCCATACATCTGGTAGCAGAAACAGGAAAACAGCAGCAGACCTGGGCTGCAGCTGCGAGTATGCCCAGAGGGTTGGACCCAGTGCTCAGAGGGGCTGCCGAGAGCACGGAGCAGCTGTGCTTCAGGGACACGGGCCAAAACCTGGACAGGGGGCCAAGGAACACGTATACTGACCACAAAGTAGCCTGCAAAGCTTGTGAGAGCTAACGCTTGTTAATACTGCGTATGAGGCCTCACAGCAACTGAGACACAAGATGTTTTGTTTGAAAAGCGTGGTACAAAACCACCCCTCTTGGGAGGGGAAGAGGTGCGATCCGCAGAGATGGGGAGTCAGGCAATATCTTGCATTCGTACTTCTGTTCTGGGTTTTATGTTCCTCAGTTATTAAAGTTACTCTTGTAACTAATTTGTGTTGCAGAGAAGGAAATAACTTGTTCAGTTTCTGAATTCTCTTGGTGTAGGTCACAAATTTTGTAGTAGTAAGCTCAGTTCCTGTAAAAAGAGTTGATATCTTATTTTCAGTGTCAAATAATCTGAAATATTTCAGACGCTTAATCCCCTCAGTTCTGTCTGATAAGCAGCATTCATGTATATGGTTGCTTTTAGATAAAACTTTGGGTTCAACTCTTTCTCACTGTGTGAAGTAGGAGCTCAATTTAAGGATAAAGATCTGCTTTTGTCCTTGAGGAGAAAGGTGCCCTGTTCAAAGCAGACGGTTAGTGAGTGGATCTGTGTAGGTGCCAGTTCCTAGGTTGCCACTTTGCAGCTCCCAGCCTGCTCTTTCAAGGCGTTACCTAAGCAGCCCTTAGGAAGGAGGAATACTTCTGAGATTCCATCTTTGCACTGGATCAGGTGGGAAATTGAGCCATGAGCTCTGAGGCATGTTCTTGGATTAGCTGTCCCTGGTACTGTCTTTCCTTTTAAGATAAAGTAAGATGGTCATGTGCTAATTCGGCGACAGAGCACTTCCCACCAAGCAAGGTTGGGGTAAGCTCTGCTGCTCTCACTTCCCATCTGGAGTGCCTTTATCACGTGGTGACTGGGGAATTTTGAGATGTGAAGGTTGTTTGTTTTTCTTTATGATGTTACTGTAGAAAATAAGACTGAGCAAGACCCCAGAGACGACATCATCTTAAGCTATGATCCCTTCACTCTGACTATTCAGAGATTACATAATAAAGAAATTAAGTACAGTGCACAGGTAGATCTGATGCTTCATTTGTGCATGGGATTAACCTTGAGAAAGCTCCTGTATCCAGAAGTACGTTACTGTAAAGCAGAGGAGTCCGTTTTTTAAATACAGTGGTATGGGAGATGGAAGAGCAGGGGCAGCACACACAGAGCTTGGGAACAAGATTACTGCTGAAGGTAAATTGCTCCTGAAATGCCTTGGTTGTACTGCTGAGCCAACAGTTCTTTAACTGATTTGCTTGCAAACATCTATTTGGATTATGAAACCGTATGTCTTCTGTTTCAGAACCGCCTGGTACGTCTTGTTTGTGTCTTTCTTCAGTCTTTAATCAGAAACAAAATTATTAATGTACAGGACTTGTTTATAGAAGTGCAAGCATTCTGTATTGAGTTCAGTCGGATACGAGAAGCAGCTGGCCTTTTCAGATTGCTGAAGACACTAGACACTGGGGAAAATCCATCAGAGACAAAAACATCAAAATAAAACCACTGTGTCACCGGCAGAAAAAAAAAAATCACCACCACAACAACCCTGCCAGAGTTCTATGCCAATTAATTGTATATTTTAAACTGAAATCACTGGATTAATGATGTAATACATTATAAATAGCATTTTATGCATTTAAACAATAAATAATGCTTTTTCTGATACACTTGCTTGAGTTTGTGAAATGTGCTAGGCCTTACACTCACACTGTTTCTGACTGTGGGTTAAACTCTGTACGTCATGCATACCGTGAACTGCAGGCTCTTAATTCCAGAGAGAATGTGATAGTTGCGATTTCACAGCACATTCAAATATTAATCTGGTGCTGTCTCTGTGTGTGAAACAGTTTGTGAATAACTAGTCAACTTCAGTTCCTCTTTGCCCTTTCTTCACTGTGTAAGACTTGCTAGAAGGGGGATACAAGTTCTAACTATGCATGCTGGTTTTGGTGAGTAAGGGAAAGTCTGTCTGGATGTCTAGAAAAAACCCAAGGCTCACGTTTACATGGCAGAAATGAAGTGTTGGGTGCTGTAGGCTGAGTGCTATTCTCTTTTCGAGGTCACTGAATCTTTCCTAAATACTGGCTTCATCCAGCACTAGTTGAAGTACCACACCTATTTCATTCATTTCATTCTCATCTGAACGGTTCACTGAGGAAAGATGGTCCCATTCCTTCCATAAAAATCCAAGTCATGAGCCTCTTCTCACTTCAAAACGTGCAGAGGCAGTTGCTCTGTGGCTACCAAAACTAAAATATTGCCTCTTCCTTCTAAAGCATATAGTCAGAGTACCACTCAGGTGTTAGATGCCAGGTGTTGGGGTAACTGGGGAAGGAGTCTGCCTGAAGTATTATTTTAAGCTGATAGTAGAATAGCTGCTGTTATTTAAGCTCTGAGACTGAAAAGGAAAACAACTTGAAAAGCTAGCTAGTTTTAATTTAATGCTACTTGATAAATGAAAGCTGTTTTTAAATCTGCATCTGCTTCTCAAGGAGTGCAAGATCAATAATGCAAGGTCAAGACTGTCTTTTGGCTTCCTCTAAGTAACTTAAATTGCTAAATTGCTTGGATTGAAGATCCCATCACTCAGATGCAGCACAATGTTTCGGTAGGAAGTCCTGTGAGAAGTGTTCTCTAGTCATTAGGGGTTAGATGTGTATAGCTTCCCAGAGTTAAGCTCTATTAGGCCGAATAAAGTAACATTTACTTAAGGTCTGTTCCAATCCTAGACACTTTCTGTAAGCCATTGTTAGCAGCAATGTTAACCTAGCTTGTGCCCTAAACTTGTACCTTAATGCTTTACCTCTACTAAAGTTGAAGTACAATTTGACTGTCTTCTATGTGCTAGCACTCCTCTCCAAAAAACATGGTTAAAAACACATTATAGAGATTGTAGTCTTTTGTTTGGAACTTAGTACTATAGTTTATGACAAATAGGCTCCCTAGGAAAATTGTTACCAATGCCTTGAAGCAGGAGTAATCTACCTTATGATTACGGAATTACTTTAGAAGAATTTAAGCCTTGCCAAAAAAAAAGTAGGGTCCTACTATGGTACTATAGCAAAAGCCTAGGTGTTCTGCCTCTTTAGAGTATTTGGTTGAGTTCCGACAGACATAAATCCCCAATCCCTGGATTTGTCCTCCAACTATAAAAACAAGCAGGTACCAAGAAACAGTTTTATGATTTTATCATAGGGGATTTCTGTAATATATTCATTTCAGAGCCCTGTGCCTTGATGAAAACATTCAAACTTTTTACTGGATTTGCTGTCAGCCTCTGCCTTGTCTGCTTGGTGGGAGGGAGGGAGGGAAGACGAGGCAGCCTTTCCCAAATCTGTACGGGGCCAGGTGGTGGGAGTAGGAGGGGGCTAGAGGGTGGCCTTTGTGAGGAGGGGCCAGGGCTGCCCTGTGCCAGAGCCAGCCACTACACGGGGGCAGAGCTGAGCCCCCGGCCAGGCCAGGGGCACGTCCGGATAAGCCCAGACCAGTCTCTAGCCCAGGGAGAGGATCCACATTGGAGCAGTTCTTGAAGAACTGCAGCCCCTGGGAAGGAGCTCATGGTAGAGCAGGGGAAAAGGGTGAGGACAAAACAGCAGACACCAAAAGTTATGGATTGACCAGAGCCTGCCTTCCCCTGCCACCACTCCAGGGGAAGGGAGAGATAGAAGAGTCAGGAATAAAGGATTTAAGTTGAGCCTAGGAAAAAAGGTCATTTTAATTTTAATCTCACTCTTCTACTGTTTTTAAATGGTAATAAATTCATTTCAATCTTCATCAAGTCTGGTGTGGTGGGGATGGTAACTGTTTCTTATCTTGACCCATGAGTTTTTCCATGTTATTTTCCCCCCTCAGTACAGAGGGGAAGAGTGAGAGCAGCCGAGTGGGCATCCAGCAGCCAGCCAAGGTTAACCCATTCCACCCACGCAGCAACTAGGGGGGGAGAACTCCCCAACATGCTGAAAGGATCTCACTCAGCTACTCAGCATGAAGTTAAGGTTTGTGCTGTGTGTCTCAGATCCTTTTATGTAAGTGTAGTAAAGAAAAAACCCTCAAGCTTTTCAGACATTGCTTTTTAAAAGATCTGTATAATTTATTACGGAATTTGAGCTTTTAACCATTAAATTACAACAATGGATAACTTGACATTCTTACAGTTGTACATATACAATGGAAAAGACATAGCCCAGTGCTTAATCCAAACAATGCAACCAAGTTAGAACAAGGTTACCATAAGAGACAGTCGATTGCAAGTAGTTGCTGAGACAGACTAGCAACTTCAAATGGTGCTCTGCAGTTATGTTTATCATAGAAGTAACTGGCTTCAAAGCTTTGGACTTAAGCTTCAGACTAAAAGAATGATGAAAACTCAAATTATTTTGCTCTTCTGAATTAAGAAGGATAAGCTCGTTTTAAAATGCAGTATCGTTACCATGTTTCAGATGGTGAAAAGTAGTTTCAGATCCAATGGAAGTATAACGGACAGTTTCCAGGCATTGCATTCTTCACACAAACACATGCAATTAGAGAGACGTTCTACTTTTAAAACTCTCAAATCAAGTTTTGCAATACAGCAGGATATCTGAGGAGAGAGATCAGGACCCATACTGAACAAAAACAACAGCCTTCAGCTTGCTTTGTGCATGTTTAATCTACAATTCCAATTCCCAAATCTTCACATATCACCTATGAGAGAAAACAGTACAGCTAGTAAAGATGATTCGCAAGGACAGAAGACATGTTACAATTTTTACAGCTATTCTGGTTAACAAAAACGCTGTTGCCATCTTCCGTTTTAGGAATTTTAATTCACCATGGCGCTACTGTAAAACTGCATCTCCAACTTAGTCAAGGGGAGAGACCTTCTTCCCTCCTGCAGCACAACCCTTCCTCACCTTAGCCCAGCTCCAAGTCAGTTAATTGCACAGTAAGGATATTCAGTTTCCTAACTTGTCAAAATACAGCTTTGATAAATTTAATTTTCTTCCACTTAAATTTAATTACTTCATCACATACTCTTAAGCTGAATGTGAGAGAACAAAGTACACAGAGCAGAAAACAAAAACCAGAAAGGACCACTCTTTCTCTTCTAGTAACAGCAAGCTATTTCATTGGCTCCAGCCACTGCGCGAAGTCTCACCCAGCCCGGTGGCTTAAGGGAGACACACAGAAGAGAACAGTCTCTTGTCAACCTGCCAACACAATATGATTCACCCAGCATCCAACACCAACAACTCCATCCCCTCCAGTTTAACCTGATGAGATATTGGCAGCTGATGACTCTACTAGATCTCAGTTTCAGCTCTCTTTGTAGAGCGGCAGGGTCAGTACGTTCTTATAGACTTCAGTATCAGCATCTTATAGATCTCAGTATCATCCAGCACAGAAACACTGCATTCAATGACAAGTGCTGAACACCAAACCAATGAAAACTACACATGCATCCTTTCCACTCAAAAAAAAACAAAACAAAACCAAAAAAACAACCCAAACCCAAAAGAACACCCCCAAAAAAACCCATCTAAAAAGCAAACAAAACCCCCAAACACCCACCTCGCCATTGCCACATCATCATCGTTACTGGCTTGATTCAGAATGCTAAAGGCTCTGCTGAGCAGGAGTTCTCAGTTTTACCAACACTTGGGATGCTGATGTGTAATAAAACCATGTTTTTATGGCAACAACTGAAAAAGTATTCCACAAATTCAGAATGCCATTCTTAACCTACTGCTGTATACTTCAAAGTTCAGCTGGTATCGCTAACCGTAGTTGCATGCCTAGACAAAAGAAGTCTGCTTTTATGGGGCAGCTAAATAATCAGCCCAACCTGTTGTGTCCTATCTGTTGCCATCATAAAGTAAAACCAACACCTTTTGCTTTTGATGGAGCTCATCAAAACGGGCAAGTGTAGATACTGCCTCTGCCTCAGACACCCCCTGAACCACAGGGCCCAGGACAGGGGGTAACCATTGCTACGCGCTTGCTGCTCTCCTCTCCGGACAAATACTGCTGGCCAGCCTTGCAGAAAGCTCAGCAGGCCAGGCAGAAAAACTGGATGATCATTCCTGAATCAAGAAGTGATTTAAAAAAAAAAAAAAAAAAAAAAAAAAAAAGCCTTTCCACGTTTGACAGTTTTTGCAATGGTGTTTCTCCATGCTGGTTACAACCTGGCACAGGACCAGAATTCCCAAAGTGTAACAGCGCAACTTTGGCAGGAATATACCGGTGCCCAATTTATTAAATCAGCATGGATTAAAAGCATTCTCACTGTAGTTAAATTGTCCCACAACTCCTCTGGCACACCTCCAGAATCCAGCACTAATTACTGGCAACAGGTTACCAGGCGACATTCACATACTCAGGGGGCAGGGGGGATGGGGGGTGTAAGCAGCAGGGGGAAGGGTTTACTGCTATCTAATCAAACTTCTCTAGTACATGCAAAGAATCTCCTCCAAGCATTGCTCAGAGCCAAAGAAGAATCTATTCTAGGGGTCATTAGTAAAAGGAAATCCAAACTTTCTAGTTAAATTGGTACTGCAGGTAATTAAACTATTAACATGCCTTTAGACCTGAAACGTCTACCGCTCATTTTCGCTTGCTATAAAGTCTGAAAGTTTTAGTTATTTACTATAAAATTTCTAAAATTTCTGAACAAAGAGAGGCCTGTAGTTGTTGCTTTAAACACCAGTCTATTTTGACATGTTCACAGTTCCTTTTTAAAAATCACTTTCACTTTAAAAAATTTTCTCCCTGACAGTAACACCAGAACTAACAAAGCCAAAGCACTGAACACAATACTAACAAGACTTGTTCTACCATAAAAGCCCCTAGTTGTGCTAGGGATTCTTCCCCAACTGATTTGTTCAACATCACCATTGGGGGGCTGTCCACTTCACGTGGGCACTGTGCTTCAGCTTCGTATAATCAGACCGCACGAATGCCTCTCCTAATAAACCCTCTGCCTGCTTACAGCAAAATCTGACACAGGGACAGAGGCCTGCAAGACAAGTTCCTGCATGTTTTAGTGAAGATGTGCAGCTAGGGAGAGAAAAGAGATCAGGGCAGGAGGGGGGGCAGAAGGAACCCACACCACCTAGAGTATCAGCTCCCACATTAGGCAGGGCCCTAGCGTAAGCAGAAGAGGTACATTAAAGATTCTCCAAAAGGTAGGGGAGTCACAAGGAACCTATCCTGCAATAACCTTTATGGGGGGGAAGAAAACACTCATTAGTTCTGACCTTCATGTAAGTTTTTGGTACATAACGTGATAGAAACTAGAAATACCAGTTTGAAGCAGCATAGTAGGTCCAGATCAGCAAAGTCTGGGAACCTGATTTACCTATCACTGCCTACAACTGTTTACTCTAAAAGTTACATATTAGATGAACTATAACAGTAAGTCACACACTCGTTTCTAATCCTCTTGTTACTGTTCTAAGCTCCCTAGATTGTCTCTTTCCTGTCCTTTACTCTCTATCATCTTTTTGCTAATGCATGCCAGTGTTTTGACTGAGGTCAGACTAACGATTCGCTTCGGATTATTTTTGTCATCGTGCTTCCAAGGAGAGCAAACTGCTTGCTGGAAGCACTGCAATTCGGCCTTTTTTTGTCATCATTCCTCAGCAGGACAGCTGGCCTTACAAGGCCTAACCATATCAAAGAGGAATTATGTGCAAACCAACTCAAATGAAACAACTGTAACTACTCTTGTTAAAGGTTGAAATGAAACAGGTAATAGAGCGCCAGCATGAAACACACACCAGGAATCTTCATACTTGGGTATTTTTCTAAGTCAGTACACTTCAGATTTTATAAGCACACTTTTCAGTTTGCAAGTCCTTTAGCTCTTCTTCCAGCCTTCCGCCAGATCTCAGCTTTGATTAAGAAAAGCTTTTGGTTTTATTGATACGATAATAAAAGCTGAAGTACTTACCACATTTCTCCTCTCCAACATGAATATTGCGCTGCAGGCATCAGCAAGACACAATCCACAGACTGACAAGACTTCTCTTGACGCCTTTTGGTTCCTCCTTGAGCTAGAGTTTAAACCCTCTCAACATTTACTACATCAATGTTCAGTTTTGTGTTAAGGAAGAGGGAGAAGACTTAGTTTTTAATATTGAAGAGATGGTTAAAAAGGCAGTTCTGGAAGTGTTGATAAGCTTCTTCTGGAGACATAAATGTCCCTACACATTGTTTGGTTTAGTTGTGGGTTATTTTTTTTATTTGCTCAGTTTTGGAGATGGTTGGTCAGTCATATTCCATTCTCATGTGCTTCTTGTAAGATAAAGGCATCACAAAAACTTGCACCTGCTGGTGACATCAGAACTACAACCTGACAATTTTCCAGTAGCCTAAAAGTTACATTCCTACAGGGAATAGGCAGATTTTTCTTTTAAAGTAGGCATTAAAAGGAATTTTTTTGAAGGAAATTTAGGGTGAAACATCTGCTCTGCAAAGTAGAAATTCAGATTATATTTCCCCAGCTAAAACCTCTGTCATTTCTGGAACATTCATTCTAAAATTAAGAAGTTATTGCTTCTATCGAAGCTCAAGATAAGATAGAAAAAAGAATTGCATATTTTCTTAAAAACATTCCAAATATACATTTTAAAAACAAAATGCATTCTAAAACAAATGTCTAGTAAAAGACACTGTTTTAAGCAACATGTAGTAACAGCTTTACAAAAGAAAACTGAGGAACGTAGCATATTATTTATAACATGACAGTGCTAAAATCCTAAACAATTCACTTAACACCCTTAAGTAATGTTTTAAATATACATATTTCTTTACAAAACAGTTTAGCAATTCCTTATACCACTTACAGTATATAAATATTTGAATAAGAGGTCATAATGGGAGATGCCAGGGTTTATATTTACTCTCAGATGCTTCAGGTTTCTTAAGTGTTTTACTATAAGGCACAATACTGCTAATCTAGAAGAAAGGAATAAAAGGTAGTGGCAAACCCACTCAAAACTCCTAATGTGGAATAACCAAGAGAATTCCAGCATCTCTATGCAAAGAAAAAGAAAAACCAAACCAAACCCAAACTCTGTAGATCCTAAGAAACAGTTTCAGTTTGTACATAACTAAGTGGGACAGGATGGGAATAGGAGTAAGAAGGAATTAAGTAAATTCTTATAAATAGACTAATAAATATATTTTAGCCATAATTAGCCCTTTACCTCTGTTCTACTGAGTTTAAGATTGAAAGAGGTAACCAGTGTGCATATACCTAAATAAGTCTACATGCTCAGCACGTGAAGACTACTTAGCACAACCTATTACTGCCAAATTCAGTATAAAAAGCTAGCAAGGTGGAGAAAGTCTCCTTTCCTCTCAGCATCCACTCTGAGCAGAACACGTTACAAGATCAAATTAGTATTTGTTACATGTAAGGAAAGTTGCAACAAGCAATTTTTTCATCTCAAAAAAAGTATATGCAACATATCCATGAAGTTATTTGATTCCTTCAAGGTTAGATTACGTCTTTTCTAAGAATATCCATCTCCAATTACAACAGATCAGAACTTTCAGAACATTTTAATAGTTGTAGTCTTGTAAGTGTTCTCCATGTGTACATACTGAATGTAAATAGTGCATCCAAACTATTTATCCATTAGACATTCTACATTGTTTTCACTGCCTAGTCTTCATCTTTGTTACAGCCCTCTGGAACACAATGACATTGTAACAATGCTTACAGAAAAAGGGTTATTGCATCTTTTTTTAGGATGAGACATCCAGAGGAGATTTTATAAAATCCTCCTGCGTACAAAATTCTTAGTTATTAGCCCTTTTGGAACACCAGCTAGAAAAGTTTGAAAGGTAAAATAATTTACATTGTTATTTTTTCCATTAACTAGACAAAAGTCCATACTAATTAAATAAAAAATAATAGTTCTTCAACAGTCTATTCAAGATATCTTCCATGAAGCAGTTCAGTGGGAATTTCCATTAGATAGATGTTCTCCATGCCGGTTATTACTGACATCCACATCTAGAAGTCAGGAATTAGAAGAAAAATTGTTTGTTGTTTTATCATTTTAATATATTTTGTTACATTAATCCAAACCGTGGCAACAAATTTAATATTCATATAAACCTAAGGTTCTCAAGATTCTCTGGGTAAATAATCCTCCTAAGACACTGTTTACATCTTTCCCCTCCCCCCCCAAAAAAAACATTTTAATTCAGCTCGATAGAATTATCTCAAAATTTACCTGCCTGTATTTTTTGAACATCAGTAGTAAGTGACACTGCTCAGTCTGGTCCACACTGCAATACTGACACTGCTAACATCATCTAGAGAATGGCTGCTTCTAATGCAATGAATGGCGTTAAGGATTGTCAAGTGACCAACTAACTTATTACTTACCAAGTAATGCTGTGGTTTCACCTGCGTCCTCTTTTAAACTGGTACACTGCAATACAGACTCATTAGTGGAGGAAGCTGACAATTCGCTTAGTTCATTTCTGTCGTCATCTTGTAAAGCAATACTCAGACTTCCGACTGAAACGCTGCCACTTATTGATTCAGGTATTGGAACTTCAAGTACATCTTCAGGGTCCCCCTTCAAAATGAGATATATTTTGTCTACCATTAGGCAACAACATTCCTCCATGTTACCACTTTGTAACCTCACCTTATTGGAAAAAAAGTATTTTTTTTTTGCCTATTATCTATGCACTCATGGGTACGGTGTTGAGCAGCGTCTGCTTTCAATGCTATTGTCTGACTGCAAAAAAACAAAGCCAAGCAAAAGAAAAGCCAGTTTTTCAAAAGCAAGAGCAGCAATAGGAGTCCTCGACCCAGCCAGCCTTTCGAATTGAGTATTTCAACACTGAAGCAGCAGTATTGCTGCAGTCTGGTTAGCAGCAGGCTCAGCACATAGGAGAGTCTTCACTGAGCAAACCTACTGATCCTCTGAGTTTGTGGAGGCCTCTGTTTTTCCATTATAGTAGTAGGGCAAGCCAACATTTGACAGAGCCAACTTCCCTCCTCCTCTACCTCCAGCCTAGCTAAGTCTGTTTCAAAAATGCAAATACACTGGCTTGTCACTTTTCAGGAATAAAACACCTGCTGCCCAGGCGAAGGAATTTATTTCACCTATTGTATAGCATGAACTTTGAATTAACTTTCAGAATGGATCAGATAAAGTCCTACATGCACAGCTTTGTTCCTAAAATTAAACAAACTACCTCCACTAAGCCACTGATATGCTGATGCTATTTATACATAAGTAAGTATACTGCAGAACAAGTAGCTATACTGTGGGCTTCATAACAAGTATTTTTCCCTTCCTCAAACAATTAGCAAAGGCCCATCTTCAGATTTAAGAAATTCTAGGCCGATTCTTTCTTTAGCATCAAAGCAGCATATTTTAAAAGGTACTGAATTTCAATAAGCTATAGAACTGCTACAGTTGAACACAAGTTAAGACACATGTGATGCTAATCTCTACCTGTGTGGGCAGGGGGCATTAACAATTTTGGTTTCCAAAACTTAGGCAGTTAAATAAGCACTGAAACTACAAGATTCAACAAGGCTCTACTAAATCTGTCAGAAATGTGGAACTGCAGTTCTTTTTCTCGTAAGAAATAGCATGATGCAGAACTAGACCACTAAAGTCCACTCTTTATGAAAGAAAAGCTAGGTAATAGGACTTAGTGCCTTCTTTCTACTTTGAGCCTTTAAACATTTTGAAACATCAAGTATTTGTTCTCCATAAAACTAAGCTAAGCTTTCAGCCTCTTTGCAGAACATTTAGTAAATTTCTATAATAAGGCTGCACATTCTTGTCTGCAGTTCTGTCATTCAGCGAGCATACTGCTGACAGAAGCTGCCTTGCTCTTCGCACTTTTTTTTCCTTACATCACTAAAATTCACACAATCACACTACAAACTAGGTTGGGCAACCTGGATCGGGCTAAAAACTAAGATAGAAAAAAACCCCACACTGAATGATTTTCCACATTATTAGCTTCAGTTGGACTTGAACGATTGATGCGTAAGCAGGACACATCCTCCATTCCATTAGAAAAAAACCCTAGGCTTCTGTATTTAATATAATCCCATTCAATCTGCTTTCCAGCATTCATTTTGCTTAATAAGCACAGAAGGTATTACTCCTCCACGTTAGACATGGTATCAGTATCCTCTGCAACAGCACGAATTCAGGGAAAAGTGTTCTGAAGGTTCTAGTATGTCAGTTTTCAGCCAGTTTACAAAAGGATATATCCTTCTGCATGTAATACAAGTTACATCAACTCCAAGAATTGAAAGTGAACAAAAAATAATCTGCTAACATTAGCAATATTAAAGTAATAATAGCTATTTCACACAATAAAAAGATTGCAACTCTTGGGTAAAGTCTGACTTAATACACAGAAGCGCCACAATCTGGTAGATGTATTACATAGCAAGAGTACTGCCACCTTTGACAAAACAAAAAAGTAGTTCATAAGAGTCTTCTATAGATCTGCTAAGTCTCTGCCACGAAGTAAGAGAAAAGCTAGGCAAAACGCAGACCTAGTCTATAAAGGAAGGCCCCTGAAATCAAGGAACACCCCTATTTTTTGAAGATCCCTGTAGATCAGTAGGAAAGAGGTACATTCATGCCTGTGCCATTTTAGTGGAACTCAAAGACTATTTATTAACAGTGACCGAGTAACCTACCGCATGTGTCTTCATCTCTCTTTTCTGGTGCTGTCAGAAAGAAATGAGAGCACATCATTTTCTCTACTTAACCAATTTCTGGTGAATGTCTTCAGGAAGGTTCTAAGTACTGGCTCATTTACAGGGATAACACTGGGCATATATGGAAGTACACAAACACTCAAGATGGAAAAACTGTAATTTCTTCCTTTGAATTGCAGTTCTCAAGATGACCAAATATATGCTGTAGATCTACTGAATTAAGTTATATCTTTGCAGTTTGGGCAAACTGCCTCACCTCTGCTTTAACTTTCCTCCTATCATCAGCTGGAGACACAAAAAAAATTGGTTATCACCAAAGGGTACGCAGAGGATTCATAAGCTGCTCGATACACTGTTTAAGCTCTTACCCATTAAATTCCCTTATTTTTCTGGTTCTCACTCAATTACTCTTGCATCTTTGCCCAGCTTCTTCAGTCTCAGCAAGTAACAACCGTTCTCATTCTGACCAGTTACATGAAATCTTGTCTCCTGCACTGTACTTCTACTTGAAGATTAAAGTAAGTGTGCAACATACCCAGTATCCCAAAGCTTTGATAACATCTAGTTTACACATTGGACAAGTCCGGTGGTCCAAAAGCCAAGGGTCAATGCACGTTCTATGGAAGATGTGCCTAAAGAAAAGAAACGCCTTTTAGCACTTATCATGAAAGCCACACACTATTCTTTCAGTGTGCAAGGTACTACACTAAAAAATAAACCCATTCCCTTATAACATTGACAATCAGGTACTGCTTAATTTACTAGGACAGACAGGTCTGGAAGCATCTTCCTTCACGCTAGCTTTCTGAACTAAGAGATGTTACAAGAACACCACAGTTACCAGTTCAACAGTGTACAGTCCTGACTTAGTAAAGCATTACTTTACTCCTATACTTCTCCCAGTTGCTCCTTTTTCCTGCATAGATATGAAGTACTACATGGTCTCCCAGTGCCCTTCAACGCGTAACATGCCATACAAGTGGCACAGCTTCAGTTCTGCCACCAGAGTTTCAGAAAGCCCATCAAATATTTCTTAAGCAAAACATATGAAAGCAGAAAAAAAATTATGGCAACTTACTTGCATGGCAGAATTCGGACAGTGTCTTTCAGTTTATAGTTCTCAATGCACACAGCACAGTTTTCCACATCAACATCTAAACCCTAAATATGACAACACATTTAAATGCATTACATCCGTATTTCATTGCAGAACAAGCTTTGTGTAATAGCTAGCTTCACAGAACGTAAGATGTAAAAAATGGTTTAGCAAGTAAAAATCTCCCCTTCACTTAATTTGAGATCCTATCAAGAGGTGATTTGATCAAGTGATACCAAATACTAGAAGCAGCCAGACCTGGGTTTTTCTAATTTAAATACCTGCATGTGGTACCTTAAGTAATTTGTGAAGTCTCAAACACTGAAATTTTACTGTGCTCTCATAAGCAAAGCCAGTTTAAAATAACTATAAAATGAAGAAATTTTAAATTAGGTCAGCACAGATGAAAGCACACAATCTACCTCTTAACTGATGGTCCCAAAGACTTTCATGTGCTTACACGGGAAGAGATGCTTGGGGTTGAATACAGCAAGCCCCTTCTTCCCTACATTTTTTTTTCTACTACATGCTAGCAGATATACCTTGGTAGCTAGCAAAGAATTGAAGTATTCAATTTGGGATGGTTTTAAAAAACTTTTCTCCAAGCTCACACTAGAGAGAATGTTGAAATACAGTATTTCCCCACCTCAATTTGTTTCTTTCTAAGGGTTAAATACCTTTCCTAATGGGTCTTACTGTCTTCTTGAAGTCATGCTTATACTTACAATGCAAATATGATGGATATCTCCAGATGCAAGAGAAGTAATTCAATGTTAATTGAGTTGTATAAAACATAAGTATTAGAGGAAGGGACAGTGGTCCAACTTCTTTTCTTTCAACCCCCACAAAATTATTTTGTTTACTGCTTACTGAAGGACTTCAATTTCATTACCACAAACACTAAAATTAATTAGTACTGCAAGCAAACTTTCAAATTTCAAGGCAAGTTTTTCCCCTCCTTTTCATGTTATCAATTCACATAATTAATGTATAAAATTCCTAAGTAAATCAAATTAAGTAATCAAATTTACCTAAGTAAATTTCAGACAAGTACTTATTCTTTAACGAATATTTTTTTATTCTGTACAAGACGCAAAAATCCAAGCACACCCTATGTGGCACATACTCAAATGAGTGTCCATTTTACAATAATCCCATAAGCTTCTCAGGAAAGATCTACATGACAGCGAACACACTTTTAAAATATTGACCTATTTTTAGTTAAATACCTCAACCCCAAGTGAAATGATAATGAAAGACTGTACTGTGTCACAATAAAATAAATATACTCTTTTAAATGGCCGAAATATTTAAAGAAAAAAAAAATGTACATTTACATAGTAGACAGGACTATTTCCAGATAAATTTACATTAGTTCATGAAACTAATGTAAATTTATTTGGAAGTGAAGTTACATAAATTTGATTTGAATCAGCCTACTATCAGCAAACTGTAAGGTAAGATTTACCAAGCAGAAAAACTGTTTTAATATATTTTAATCTTATTTCATTCTCCTTATCTAACACAACATTCATAGTTACCATCAGCATACTGTATAACATCTTTATTTATTTTAGTCAAGGGTGTATCAATGGGAAGAAGCTACCTGGCACAGTGCAAAAGTTTCACAATACAAATCCTTTTTAGAGGTTTACTGAACATCAACTTAAAAGCAATTAACATCTTCCTTCTGGTTCTCACCATAGGTTTCATCATGACCCTTTCAAATACATTTATTCCTGTGCCCATGTTATGCTTTGATACTACTTCATACAAGTTTTGGTTCAATTCCATCCTTCTTGATCTCTGATCTCATCATTATATGAACAATATCCCTCTGTTCACAGCTTGAAATAATTACTTTTTGATGGAATTTAGAATACAGTTAGAAGTAACAAATAGTTTTAAAATGCTACTTAAACATACTGAATGCATAAGAGTTAAAAAGGCATGTTCAAAGACAGTTTTTGGTTTTGGTAAGGTTTGGGGGTTTTTTTTGTTTTTGTTTGGTTGGTTGTTATTTTTTAAATTTCTAAACTGATTTAGCAAATGAAGAATATATTCTCTGTAGCATGTGACCTGAGCTGAACAGCTTCTGTTGAACAACAGCTTTTAAAGTTTTTACACAGAAATGATCTTTCTCACCTCAATTTTATTAATAGATTTTAAAAAAAAACTAATCCCTGTTTTTCATCTCTGAGCAAATCAGTCCTTAAGTAAAAACTAATCAAGTAAGACAAGGGTGGGGGAAAAAATGCCAGGTAGTAGCAGAAATCTAGTCAGAAGCTCATTTAGCATCTAGGATCAGAGCTGCCTGAAATTCTGACTAAAATAATATTTTCTTTCAAAACTTTGTCTTTTCCTACTTCAGTTATTCTAATACAGTTATAAGTTTAGTCCATATGCTGTCAAAGCTAACTTTTTGAAAGCTGTTTTAATTTTCAGAATAGCTTTATTTTAATACATAGAAATGTACTTCTAAAAAATTTATGCTTCAAATAAGTCTATACAGTTCCTTTATGTACTGCATGCCAAAAGATGAAACAAGTGTTTCATTTTTCAAAGCTTTTTAGATTTCTAAGGCCCTCTGATCAATAAAAAGATGGATGTTCTTTTAAGAAAGCAAAACATTACATCAGCTGTAAGAACTGTGCAATCAATATGTCTTAGGAAGTATTTTGCAATCTACGTGTTGATGTTTTCAAGTGCTTCCTCATCTTTACAGTATCAGCCCTGTAGTCTCCTGCAACATTTTGTGTAAGCAGCTATTGTTTGCCACAAAACAGCCTTAAATCTCATTAGTTCAAATCTGACTCTTCAATTTTAAATTCTGCCTTCTATGTAAAGGCCCTCAAATGAGCCTAAAACTGTAGCCACTGAAATTACGTTGTAAGAATTTTAGTGTAATTTCTATAAAGACATTACAACAGTTTTTAAATCATACAGCAATGACCAGAGCCACTGAATTACCTTTTCTCCACGTTTCACTGTATGCAGCTGAAGCTGGCTGATCGCTTTCTTTGTTTCTTTCCTATGTCCCTTGAATAAAGATTTTAAGTATTAGTACATGAGTTACATTTCAAAGCTTTTAAATATTTTCCCTGTGGATTACCAGGTCTTCTGAACACATCTAAAAAAATTCATCTCTGGCTAACTACTTTGTTTACAAAATACTTCCAGCCACCAGATGCTGAAAAACTGCAAGTTTTACATTCTCCGGGCACAGCAGCAATCATTTTATCTGTAAGTGTACAGCTCTCAGAATGAACTCAACTGGTGCAGAACTATGCAGACCAAGCTGACACATACCTAGCAGCCTTGTTATCGTGACTGCCTGCATTAAGGGCCTTCCCGCACAGGAAAACTGAAACTAATGTAGGCTTTAGAGGCAATCAGAGCTGAAACAACAGCCACCTAACCAGACCTTCTAGTTAGGCAAGCCCATGAGCAAGCACAGGGTACATTTTGCACCAGCTTGAGAGAAGGTGGAATCCTGCTGGGCAGCCTACAGCTGGCCACCAGGTCAAGAGGCTGCTTGTAGCTATTAATACTTCCCCCGAGTTAAACACTGTCTCCTATGTTATACAAAGCTTTGCACTGAATGGACACATTATGCAAAGGAGATGACAAGAAAGGCTTAACAGACATGAGACACCATACTGGACTTCTATACAGTAACAGTCCTAATTATGCTTAGAGGGGAAGCAAGAAAAGAAAGCTGTACTGTATTCTAATACAAAGTGCTAGCTACTGCGAGAAATTAAGCACTCCAAATTAACAGATGTTGATCTGCCTAGCAGCAACCCTCACCAATGAAATACCATAAAAGAATAAAAAACAGTAATGGCAGCTTTTCTTTGTAATGACTTCTACCATTTTACAAACACATAATATTAAAACTTGTAATTTATTTTTTTTTTATGGCGTTAAAAAGTATTAGTCTGAAAGTTCTCAGAAATGGACAGACAACCAGCAGGAGGTGACAATTTCACCTTCTGTATCAGCTCAGGGGTTTCTTCGTGGTCCCATTTCATCTTTGGTAGCAAGGAGGTCTTCCAAAGCTTTACTGCTGAACTGATGTTAGAATAAATCTTAACATACCTGTCTTTACCTTCACTTAACAGCTACACAGTAGCTTGCTTTAAAGCATGTCATGCTTCACTCCCAAGTTTTAAATATACTGGAGTCAATAAGCCAAGCAAGGTAACATTTGGGTTAGAAAAGTGGCTTTTTGTTTCCAAAATTCTTTTAAGACTTCTAATAATGTATCTTGACTAAGATATTTACAACATTTTCAAAAGGAGATTTGGGGAAAGTGGCATAACCTTCTAATGATACACATTTAGATGACAAGTCCAATAGCAAAATATATTAAGAGTTTGCAGTACATCTTCCTGGGAAACATCACATTCAACCTAAAAAACACTCTTAAAACTACTTACAAAGCATGTGAACTTCCCTTAGTGTGAACTATCTGAAAACCAGCACAACAGGAAGAAGCAACTTTCTTCATCAGACTACTGTTACAACACAAAAACACACCCCTTTTTCTATAAATACCTCTCAAAAATTTTGTGTTCTTGAAAGCATTCTCAGAATATAAGTTCTAAGACTTAAAGCTTAGTAAAAAAGGCTCTAGGGAATCAACATTTCAAGGAGACCGCAAGTTTAACCAATACAGAAGTCCTGTGTGTTATCCTCAGTTCCTGAAAAAAATAAATTAAGTATTTTTCTAGAAAAGTCCTCTAAGTTCTCAGAGCTCAGGCTTATGAATATAAACAAAAATTCTATTCCCTCCTCCCCAAAACTAGAATCTCCATATTCAAACAGAAGGCAGGGGAAGTCCACATAAGCAGTTATTTAAAACTTTTTTTTGTTCTGAACTGACTTAAAAGCAAAACAAAAAAAAAAAAAACACAAACAAAACAAAACCCTAACTGCTTGTAAAGAAAAACAAGTGCAATGTTCTTTTTCACTGTTAGTAGAGAACTATGGTAGAGCTGATGATCACCATGGAAGGAACCTAACCTATCTGCAAGAACTGAAAAGCACAGGGAAGTGCCACACTAAAATACCTTCAAAACTCAGCTGGACTAGGTCCTCAACAACTCCATGTAAATTGCTCTCCTGAGCACAGGGGTTTAAACCACATAGCCTCCAGAGGTCCCTTTCAACCTAAATTAGTCTATGATGAAGTACTTCCCTCAGGGATAAAAAATAACGCTGACTTTTTTTAACCTATCAAAGAACAGGAATGTGGAAGGAACAAATAAGGAGCAGATATTTCTTCCTGATCTTCCCAGTCCTCTCAGCTCTTCAGGTAGTCCATGAGAGCTGACTCTTTCCATACAGGCTCCTTCCAGTCTGCTGCAATTCGGTACTCTACAGTGAAGTGGTAGGATTACAAGTATCAAAAGTAGTTTTCATAAAGCTTTAGAACCAAAAATTCTAGCCCTAATTACTTGTGGGTCGTAAGAAAAAAAATATACCACGGTCACTTTCCATTAGAAAAAAAGTCTGATTACGGAAATTGGAACTTTCAGGATGAAAATTACTGAAGAATGAAAATAATTTCTAATGTCAAAAGGAAGGAAGTTAAGTTAGGTGACAAATCACACAAGAAGCTGCACTTACTCAGTTGTTGACAAGCAGCCAAGTATTTCCCACAACTTCATATGAGTATCCAATAATTATAACTAGCCAAACTTGTGATGTCAGTTAACACACTGATTATTAGCCTCACCATTACTGGGTATCATTCAGACAGTGAAGTATCAAGAAGGCACAGATCTTCAAGAACACTTCAATCAACAAGCAAAGTTAGGCAACTGATTTGACAGGAGAAGGCGATAAATACTCTAAAGCATCATCATCTCCTATTACCTGGTTTCCAAACTGTGATCCTGTATACAGGAAACGTTGTATATAGTAAAATATGAGCCAAGCAAGTGATATAATCATCATGGTGATGAAGGCGATGGCTACAAACACAACCGACTGACCACTAATGTATTCCTGCACGTGCCGTGTGCCAACAACAATAGTCATTTTTACTGGAATCCCTCTTCGTACTGGCTCCAGTATCTCTATTCCTTTTGGATAGCCAACCATTATCACCACTGTATTTCCTGTTCCTGTTGGAGGGGAAAAAAGAAAAAAGTCAGTCATCACAGCAAAAATTTAGGCATTCTGGGTTGATGATAATTTGAGCCTCTTCAGTTAACATCAGTGAGCAAAGTTATGGGAAAACTTCTGAGTTTTTTTCAGGCATAGCGGACTTGATATAAAGTTACCAGTAAAGAACCCTTTATTTACTTTATGAAACTCTCTTATGAAATATTAAAATACTTAAGGATTCATCAGTACTAAATACTCAAAATGTAATGAGACTTCATGACAAGGACTTGTCAAGAAATACTTTGGGACTCTTTTGGGAACATGAAACCAAAGGATTTTTCTGTTACGTTAGAACTCAAAAGCACTCAAATCCATATGAAAAAGCACCTAATTCCAAAAAAGCCTTTAAGCACTATAATGCCACCAAAACCGATACGATACTGCCAAGACCGACTAGTGGAAACAAAACAATCCCCTGCAACTAGAGTTTTACTCCATTTTGTCTGGAACTATCTCCAGTATTGTCTCAGAAACATCTAACCTAAATATTACAAAATAAATTACCAACAAATGTCCTTGCTTAAAATGACACCTTTTCACTGGTCTACACTATTTTTATTTGAACGGTTCTTACTTTGTGTGTAACAACACTGCCACACACCCTTAGTAAGTCATGGCTTTATCACTTACTTTCAACTCCTACCTCTGAGAAAAAGTGAAACTATGCTTGATTCAGAAAGAAAGTAGAGGAAGAAGAGGGGGTTTTCCTAGCCAGAAATCTAGAGCTGTAATGTCACAGCTACCTTTTTAGATTCACAAGATTACCCACCTGCAACAAGACCTCCCACTGAAGACTTAAAGCCTTTTCCCTCCTGGCTGTGTTAGATTCACTACTGAGAAGCTATGTCTAAAGAAATAGTTGCCTAATTTATAACATTACATCAAGTGGGAATTTTCAAAACTCCAAACAGCATTCCAGATTCGGCCACCTCTCTCCCTACTAAGACAAAGAGTTATTTGCCCAAAATATTTAAAAAAAAAACGCCTTTAGTAGCCAAGATGGTTCTGGCTGTGACAACCTCGTCAACCTGGCTACTTTGCTACCATGCCAAGGGGAATTTGCAGAAGTTTTACTTCTGTACATAGCCGCTTCTCCCTTCGTAAAACACAGACCTGCTGTGGATGAAACACTGAAGGTTCCAGTTATTAGCTGCATAGCCCTCCTATCTCAGTGCCAGCTATACTTTTTCAGCTTCACCTTACACAACCATCCCACTTTTGGTCACCTACTGTAAGAACCATTATATCCATCTGCCAGATCCAGACCCAGCAAAAGAGTAGATTTTCCAAATAGGGCTATGCTTCTGGAAGTTTTGAGGATGGTGCAGAGAGACAAAGAAAGATGTCACTGGGGAAAGGCCCAACTCATGCTTCCCCTCAGGCACCCCACTCGACTCACCCAGCTCCCAGTACGTGTTGCCTTGCCTGGTGGATGCCTTAGGAGGCACAAAGCAATGAAGCTGAAGACAAACAAGATAAATTCACAAGCAACTAGGCTCTGCTAATTAGTTCTATTCATCAACAACATGCTGATCCACATGACACCACAAGTCCAAGCATACTAAGAATTGGTTAATTAATATTATTCTCCTCTCTGAACCAGCATGAAAGCATTAACAAAGAGACTCATGAATCTCCTAGAGAAGCGAGTGTGTGAAACACTCCTTGCTTTCTGACCCTGCACAATCCCACAGGGAGTTAACAAGAAACCAGTGTATGAACTTAGAAATCTATCTCACATTGCTGAGAACTGTTATCCACATACCTAAATCAGGAGATTAGGTCCTATGTCCTTAATTAACTGTAAGAGTTACAAATAACAGGAGGGGTGCCTAAGGATAGCTAGTGAACAGTACAGGAGTGCTGGGAAGACTTACGTGGTTTTATTCAGGCTTGGGGAAGAAAAGAAAGTTTCAAGATTAGAGGCAGCCTAGATTTTTCAATCAATAAAGGTTCCTTCCTCAATCCTGAAATCCTGAGTCAGTTTAATCCTGCTATCTAGTTCTCTGCATGATTTCTAACAAAGAAGTATTTTAAAACCCCACATAGCATGTCCAACTATCAGCTGGTTATTTCCTTGAATTGGAAGTCAGGATACTTTCGTGCAATGGCTCCTAGACCCTGTGACACCTTCTAGTTTTAGAACCAGCAGAAGTATGCCATACATTTTTAAATAAATGCCCATTAAAAGCATTTTAACAGTTCTAAAGACTTGTTGACGAGCCTGCCATTAAAAATACATGCAACTAAACACGATGGCCTTGAAGGTCATGAGACAGAAGGCAGGGAAGAAAAAATTGCAATCCACTATTACAAAAGGAACAAGAGCAGTCTGAGAGAAGCAGTTGCCCTGAGCAGCCTGTAAGACTAAGGGCTTTAACTCATTCATCACTAATTTTAGACTTCTGTTCTCAGACTGATATGCTGTTAAGTGATTCCATCAGCTTCAACTATGACATAACTGAGAGACCTCAAATTATAAAATAATTCCAAGTGTCACATATAAGTATCTACTGAGAGCATGCTTTGTTGGCTTTGCCTTCCTATAACTTTCTGATTTTGCAATAATCAACCACATTTTTACTCTGCTAGAGTAAACTTGTTTTCTTTTTTAGGTTTGATAGACGTTTCAGTGGAATCAGGTACATTTGAAATTTGGTGTATGCTTTTTTTAACACTACTATCCAAATAAAGCAGCAAGAGCTGGCAGATCCTCAGGATACCTGGAAAGGAAGGCAAATTTGGAACTCTGAAGATCAGGGTATGTTTCATGCCAGTATGACAAGATCAGTTTTACTGCTAGTATTGCTAGTCTTGTCTTGCAAAAGGAAACCAGCACTCTCCTGATGAGGAAAAAGTAGTACAGATACCCATCTTCATTCCAGGCATCCCAAACTATCACATTTATTCCCATTCATGCCTATAGATAACAACGATAATTTCCTATTATCTGGAAGCCAACTGCAGCCATACTCTAATTTTTGTCCTCATGAGAAACACCAGAAAGCTCCCAGATTTTGAGCACCTTGGTAAAAATGCTTGAGGGTCAGTCCCTAGATCTATTTAAGCACAGGCAGCCTACTAACACTGCCACAATCAACACTGAAAGTTCTCTGTAGCTCATGGTCCAAACGAATGCCTCTGATCTTTACCAAACGCAGAGCAGTACACTAACAGTTCGATGGCAAGCTTTGCCTCAACCATCTACCCCAACTTCATCTCACCAAAGCCTCCGTGCGTGTTGTGATTTCACCTGCTTCTAGACGGAAGACGTATAACCAGAAGAGTCAAGCAGTCAGGCAATCAACACTGGTACACATTCCTCTTTCCACACAGGTTTCCAACACCTATGCATTCTCACATATAAAATAGGTATTAGCATTTTGAAGTTACTTCTGCTTCTTCAGAACAGCATAGCAGCTCAACATCACACAGTCCCTGTCTGAGTTAAGCAAGCCACTGATTTCAGTTCTGTCCTTTCAGTACAGTACCAGAAGCTTTTGGTAAAAAGCATTAGTAATCCAGAGGTTATGTACCACGTGAGAATCCCGAGTACTGCTGAAAGCAATGTAGCAAAGAGTCGAACTACATGCCAAAATAACCCTAACTGTTGATTTGGTGCTGGCAAGAGCTTACAGAACCATGAGTACAAAGTCGTTCATCTGTTTTGTTCAATATATCTGCATTAAAAAAACATGACAATGAAGGAAAGAACTAGTTGGGTGTATCTTGGAAAAACTGCACCAGATCAAAGACAATTTTCTTTATGTAGCCAAAGTCATATATTCAAGTTAAGTCACAAGTTTCCCTTAAATCCACGAGCCGTGTACCAAAGCTCCGCTCCAGACCTTACACAACCTATTGTAGCCAGCCCTCCTTCCTCCCTTCCCCCTTCTGTCAAGCACAATCATATTTTATTCTGTAGCCTTCAATGTATCAAACTTATGTTCTGAACAGCATCATCACATCCTAGCTTGAGAGGGGATTCAGACATGGCTGGATGCCCAGCATGAAGTATAACAGGAAAAAATACAGAACCAGAAGACCCTTTTTTCTTTACACTGGAATATAGCTCTGCCTCCCCTAATTTCTCAACCAGCACTGAGCCTCTAACTCTCTTTAGCCTGTTCTCCACACCTTTCCTCTCCAGACTCCTCTACAACCCACTCCTAGCTAATATTTGCATACAATACTTATTTCAGTTCTGAAAAGGAATTTGAAGCATCTGTATTATATTAAGTTCACCACCACCATCAGAAGTGAACAAAGTTAAGACTGCTTGCAAAGTCTATATTCCTGTAAAACTGAAGTTTAAGTTTATACTATTCAGATGCAGTAACTGAAGTACAACTCCTTGAGTCATTTGGGTAAAATGAGTATCTTCCACCGGAAAAAACTGCCTCAGCCACTTGTGAAGTTGTTTCACTGTTATTCTCTCGAGAAGGGAAGTCATCCAGCATTCTGAACAGCATAATTTGGGCAGTGAGCAAAGGCCTGAAAAACATGAGACACATCAGTGGTCGTATTTGAAGAACCTTCTTTTGGAAGAAGGGACAGGATTTGGAATATTTGTCCTTTATCAAATGCTTGTACACCAGCTACAGCAAATCACTTTGCCTAATCAAGAATCAATCTTTTTACTCAAGTTGGAATATGTCTAAAAACACTAAAAAACCCACCACTACCAGCACACATGCATCGCACACACCCCAGAAAGTTCAAAGGCCAGTTTTTTCAGAAGGAGAATGAAAAGATGAAGCTCTGAGATCAGAAAAGTTACCCCTTTATCACCTTCACGTAATTCAGGCTGCACCTCTACCAGCCGCAAGCACTGATCCCTCTCACACTGTTTTCAGTGCCACTAACTGCAAATCCATTAAGTGGATGTTCCTTATGCATGTAACTCCACTCCTTAGTTACAGCACTGCAGATTTCCCAGACTTTCTCAGCAGTCCTCCCAGAAGCAGTGTTTGTTTCCTCATGTGTCCGTTCACAAATCCCTTCAGAGGAATGGAAAACTTGGATCCTGTAAAATACAGCTTTACCTTCCATGTACTGCCTTGCCTGTCTTCCAGAGATTTGTTTTTCCCCCACACCTTCAACAAATCCAAGATTTAAAAACACTAACAGTCATTTTTCCCTATATTCCCAAAGTGCACTGAAAGATTTGAAAATTTACGTTTTTGAAAGTTTCAACCATGAAACAGAGATTTGTGACTCCGGCAGACCTACTAATTATATTGTGACGTATTATTATATTCCTGCCCCATACAAACCATCCTGAGGTCCAGCATGTATTTGCAAAGTCAATATAAATAAGTACAAGTGTATTATTGCATATATACACTATACTAAATCACACTCTTTATATAGGTAGAGCTTTTATCAGCAACATTCTGCCAGTTTAAGAAAAAAAAAAAAAAAAAACAACCAAAAAACCAAAACAAAACAGCAGTCAGGGAGTACTTCTAAGACTGATAGATGTAACTATACTACGAATACACCGAACATAAACCCATGTTCTTACGCAGCACAGATATGATAGCAGAAAAGAAAAAATAAAAAATTTGATAAAATAAGCGGGATGAAAAAAGGAGGAAGAAATTCCACAAAAAAAGCAAATAATATTTATGAGAGGCTACAATAGGGCATGGAGAAAAATGTGGGAAAATATGCTCAGGGAAGAAAAAAATTTTTTACTGATTGGACAATACAGAGTGACAGCAAGAAAAAAACCTGACAGCTGATAAAGAAGAAAGAATTATTACCCAGCAGAGTACTCTAACTACCACATGGGATCAAAATCAAAGGTACATCTCACCTAGCATCCCACCTCCACTTTCACAGCGGATTAAGAACACAAGGGACAGGCCAGGCTGATCTTTCTAAGCATGGAGCAGGCTAAGAGGAACAGTAACCACGCTTCCAGCCTCCAAGTTGGTGCCACTTGATATTCCAAGAAGAGAGACTTGTCTTCTGCCCAATATACCATATGTGCTATGAAGCAACAGCTCCCTAACCGAGATTTTCAGCTCACTATATTAAAGAAAGCAAGTTTGTTTTCTTTAGAAATGCATTAAGGGTCTATTTCAACTAAGTCCCTGGTCTTCCTCACTACCAAGAACAGCCTGGGCATTAACAGACTCATTGTACTAGGACCATGCAAAACACACCTTTACAGTATTTTTTACTTAGTTTGCTTTGTGTCCTCCTCTGAAGACCTTCCAAGTCCTGAGAAGTCTACAAATGCAATCAGATTTTATAGCAGAGTTTTAAAAGGGTTTTCCCCCCCTTCTGATTTAAGCATGTGACGTTGTCATGTTCATAAAAATCCAGCAAGGTTTTAGTGTCATTGCCCAAGCAGAGACTGCAGCAACAGAACATCTGGGTTCTTATCTCGGCAAGAAATCAGAGATTCCTTCCATGGGCTACCGATCATCAGCACGCTCAGGCAAGCCAAGTCAACTCAACATCCTTCTCTAGGCTTCAGCTTTCCCACCCCATTCGCAAGCGTTTAAGAATTACCTGATGCTTATCCCTCTCTCCCATCCTTTACAGACCTGCGCAGGAGAGGACAATGAAGCGATTACAATAAAGCAGGAACCAAAAGCTGTCTTCAAACAGCTACGGCTATGCCTTCAAAGGCACCAGAAGGCATCTTCAGGATACCGGGCATGTTTCTGCACAGCCTGCGGAAAGCGGCCGACCTGTCACCGCTGTGGCCATTCCGCCAGAGGGTACGAAGCAAAAAGGTAGCGCTAAATGAAACCGTGTGTGTGTGTGTGTGTGTGTGTGCGGGTGTGTGTGGGTGCGTGTGTCCCCGCCTCCGACCGCAGCCTGCCGCACGGCTGTCCGTTCCGATGGCTTCGCCGCATCTTCTCCCCGACACCCGGGCTGTAACTTGGAAACAGGAGACGGTCCCGGCCTTCCCCCAGCTTGGTTTAAAGGAAGAGGAAACAAAACCCCGTCTCTCTGTACCATTTTTACGGGGATTTCTGCCTTCTCGCCACCCCCCCCCCGCCACCCCTCACCGCGCAGAGCCGCGCTCCCGCGCCACCGAGGCGGCCCGGCGTTAGACAAAGCCGCCCCCCTCACAAACACCCCCCCACCTCACACCCCACCCCCGCCAGCCCGGGGAGCGCCCAGCCCCGTCCCCGCTCACCCAGGTGGGACATGGAGACGGTGCTGTTGCCGAAACGGGCCTCGTTGTAAATGACGACGGCGGCCGCCCGCTTCCGCGCCGCGTTGGTGACCTTGTCCTTGAAGGTGCAGCCGCCGCGGGCCACCAGCGCGATCCAGGGCGGCGGGTCGCCCTCGGGGGGCCCGCGGCCGCCGGGCGGCAGCGGCACGTCGTAGTCGGTGTCTGCGGCGCAGCCCTCCATGTGGCGGGGCGAGGCGCCGCGGGGGATGCCCACCAGGCCCTGGGCGCTCTCCTTGGGCGAGCTGTCCCCGTAGCGGCCGCTCTCGGTGTTGCCCCGCACCGTGCGGTTGCTGAGGGGCTCCACGTAGGCCGTGCTCACCCACGCCGTGTACCACTCCAGGGCCCGGGCGCCCTGACCCACCGGCGGCCCGAGAGCCACCAGCGCCGCCGCCACCAGCGCCAGCCGGGCGCGCCGCACCATGGCCGGCCCGCCCGCCGCCGCCGCCGCCGCGGCGCGACCAGGAAGAGCGGGAAGGGGCCGCTCCGCCGCCGCGCCCCGCTCTGCCCCGCGCCTCGCAGGTAACCCCCACCCCGCCGCCGCCGCCCGCTGCCCGCCCCGGGCGGAGCTCGCCCGCCGCCGCGGCTAATGGCGAAGCGGAGGCCGGGCGGCCCCGCCCCGCCCCGCCGGCCGCGCAAGCGCAGCCCCGCCCCGGCGGGAGGCGGGGAGGGGAAGGGAAGGCGGCCGGGGTGGGGAGAGCGGCCGTTGCCGCGCCGCTAGGGGCGCCCCGCCCCCTTCGCCGCCGGCCACGCCCCTTTCGCCGCCGGCCACGCCCCCGCGGGCGCCGGCGCCGCTCGGGTCGGGTCGGGTCGGGTCGGGTCGGGGGGGTGTCCGGGCGGGCACCACCGGGAAAAGTGACGGGGAGACGGGACGGAGCCGCTTAAAGTTGGGGTACGAAAAAGTGCCGGTGCTGCTGTACCGAGGGGAGCCCGGCTAGGGGAGGGGGAGAAGTGGGAAGAGGGTCAGTGCCGTGTGAGGAAAAAAAACGGAGAAAAAAACCCGTATTGAAGTAAGAGATGGAGGTGCTGAATAAACATGGCCGTTTGATGGACTAGCTTTCCATTAAATATAAATGTTCGGCATGTACCTCTTCTTAAATAAACACGTTTAAAGTCTTAACAGTGTTTTTATACAAGTCACCTGTACCTTCTTCCAGCTGCTGAAATGGATCGCTTGTTCTCACCAGTTAGCAGTCTTTTCTGAATGGTCTCACACACTTGTTTTTTCCTTCAGAAGTCAACATTTATGTAATCATGCATTGCTACCTATGTCATCAAACAGTGCTGTCAAACTTAGGTAATGTCCTTCCCAACGATGATTATATGTTGTGGTTTCTGACGCGGACGGGGTCTGGTAGAGCCTGGAATAGTTTGTGCTGAAGGTGTCATCGGACAGACGCCGTGAGAGCTCAGTGAACTGCCCTACTCTGTCGGCACCAAGGCCTCTATGTCCCTGCTTCTGTTCTGGAGTCGGTATTTAAGTAAACAAAAGAAAAATAAATACATCTTCAAACCCAAAGTATGTTTTAAAGTAGCATTCTCACCAAATACTCGGTGGTGTTGGGACTCTCTCCAAAGGCACTGAGCATTGTGAGAACAAGATTAAAGCAACAACATCAAGAAGATGGCCAAGACTGTGCAGACAAAGTAATGTGGAAGGGGCTGTGGAGAAGGAATTGGAAGCTGGGGGAAGAACAGAGAAAAACCAGAGTTAATGAAGAAAAGATTAGGAAAAATTTGGTATGGCAACAGAGGAGCAGGAGAATGTTAGATGGGAAGGTGGTGGCAGAATAGGGGCAGGTAAAGGGTGAGCCGTGTCGAAGGATGGCAAGCGACAGACAATTCGGAAGGAGCACAAACTCAGTGTTTGGCAAAAAGCAGATAAAAAAAAGTGACAGTACCCTGCCGAGTCCAAAAACATTGTTCAAGTGAGAATTTTTTGGTAAAAAAGTGAAAGCCAGTTAGTGTAATCCAAACAGACATCACTCCGGAAATGGCATAAAAGTAGAAAGAGTCAGTACAAAGGAAAAGAACAGCTACAGGAAATGTTCTTTTAAGAACACGGAGTCACTGGAAATAGGAAACTGATGTTGACTGTGATTCGTACTGGTTAGGAAACTGTTGTCACGGTCCTCACAGCGAATGCAGTCCAACCAGTGGCAAGACAAAGACTGTAAGGCATAAATAGGAAACACAGGCTGTTTCCTATAACTTTTATCAGATATGAAGTGGGACTTTTAGTGGGAGAGCTTGAATTCTGCTGAAAGGAGATGGTGCAGGAAAGCAAGATGAAAAGGTAAATTGTCAGCCTTGGCTTGAGAAAATGTGTCAGGGGAAAGCGGACAGCAGAGAAACAAACTGTAACAAGAACTTGTAAGAACAAGGCGAGCAAGGGAAGAAATAGCACTGAGGAAACTTCCCAAACACCATCAATGCACACCTGAGAGGCGAGTGCTCAGTCCCCACGTGCAGAAAGAAGAGGAAACATTAAGAGTGACATTTAACTGCCACAGTGAAACCAAAGCTGACAGTAATGAGAAGACGAAGGAAAGAGAAAAGGTGCTTGGTTAGACTTTTCTCCTCAGCGAAAAGCGAGGCTGTACGAAGGCAGATCTGAGTCTCAATTTCCAGAAATATTTTGAGAGAAATTAGCTTGGTTCAGGAAAGCTGAAAAAAACAGAAAAAAATAGGAAAAAAAAAAAAAAAGCAGATGTTCAGATTAGATAGAAATTATAATGGCTGTCAGCAAAAGGTCAGTTACTCTGGCTAAGGCTGTACTACAGACTCAAGAATATTCTAACTGCAGTTTCCACTTTGAAATTTGTTTTATTTGTATTTCTTCTTAATAAGCATTTTGTTAACAACATTCAGGATCTTTAGAAATCAAAATACATTGCAAATTGCAGTACACATCCAGAAATGAGACAGGTTGCATTTCATCCACTGAAGTGATGAGAATTTCATCAGAAGTGGAACCTTCTTTGGTTAAATAAGAACAGCAGTTCAAACTAGCTGTGCTTAAATCCTGTACACGCAATACGTTTGCACAAATTAGCAAAAAGTGAGAACTCAAGTTTAGAACTTTGTCTTCCTTTTTTTTCAGCAAGTAAACAGACATAACTAAATGCATCTCTTAAATATTGCAAAACCACAGTTAAAGTCTTAAATAACACACATTGCACAACAAGCTTTTGGGGGGAAGCTACAGAAATAACTCAGATACAGAACATGTGGAAATAAATTACACATCAGCTAGTGGAAATGCTTAATAAATTCCTAAGTGCTTATCAAGACCTTTTATAAAACTGTTTATTTGTTATAATAATTAAAACACACCAAATAAATAGGAGTTCTGCTATTGACTCGAACTGAAGCAAGACCAGTCCCTTTACAGTCTCAAGGAACTATGATTTTATGATGATATCTCAATAACATTCTTTGGGTTAAAAGCTTTAACAAACATCACTTACCACATGATGATCAATATCACTTGAGACACTTATCAGTTTAAAGAAAAATTGGAACCAGTATATAAATAATAACATAAAGCCCAATTAAGCAAACTACCGTGTCCTCCACTTTTTCTGGTCCAGAAAATTCCATCCAAAACCCGCAGGTCATATTTTTGATGAATTTCTACAGACTTTCAGGGACTTTTATGGTAGCTATTCCTTGGAGAAGGAAGCGTGAAATGAGAACAGGTGATTTAAGACGGCATTTCTTCAGGAAGCCCCTTTTGTCACTGTACATGCCACCGCTGTTTCGTGTTTTGAGGTTCTGTCAAGAGCTTCACAGCAGGTCCATACAGAAAAGCTTCTTGACGAACGTGACAATTTACAATACAGAACCTACTCCAATTAATCTAGGTGTGCAGGGGAACAGCCTATAGCAAGTAGGATATTGTTAATTCAAAACCTTTCCTATTGCAGCCTTACTTCTTAAACAGTTAAAGCTTTACTGGACATCATCGATACAATCCCTTACTGCTTTAAGGCATGAGTGTTAATAAGTTAACGGATAGGACATAGGACCACGTCACTGTTGCCAGGCTGCCTAAGGATGTAAGTGAAATTGAGAGTATAGTAACAGCAGCATTTCTAAAATTCTTCTTCTCTTCTTCATCTTGTTTAAACATTAAGCTTGTACACTGAGTTTGCTTAATCTGTGTGTATGTGTGTGTTTAGGGGCGGGGGAGAGAATAGGCAGTTCAGGTTTCTCTGGGAATAGTAAGGAACTGGGATAATGAAACATGTAATTAAAGTTGCACAGAAATGTGAGACCTGTGGAAATTCCCTTACAGGGTCTAGTACTCTGCCTGTTGGACTCTGTTTTAAAAGTCCCATTAATGCTAAGGGGCAAAGTATCAAATCCATAGTGGACAAAGATCTCCACGGCAAAATTACAGGAATCGAGGAGGATTTCACATGATGGTATTCTATAAATCTGTACAGGATGGGCCGTTTTGCTTTAGTACTACACAGTGCAAGACTTGTGGGCAAACTCAAATGGGAAAATGCTGCTCATCTGCCAAGAAAAAAAATAAAGGGAATAGATTCAGGCAGGACGCTTCCCCCTTTTGAGTAATTACCTCTGCAAAAGATCTGCACTGCTAACAGAGCGTCTGGCAATGAGACGAGGAAAAAAAATGCTTAACAAGTGTCTAAATGAAGTTTTCCCCCACATTTGTCTTCAATTCTTCCAGAATATCAGGAATGGTAGTGATGCCTGGAGCCTCGAACTCGCTCAAGGGCTAAGTGGCCCCTGGTAGTTAAACCAGCGCGGTGCCCAGCTCCGCTCCAGGAATGACTCCCTCTCTCCCCGCCTGAACCAAAACAAGCTCAGCTACACTTAATTGGCTTCCAGCTGGTCATAGCTCACCAGCTGCCTCTGAGCTCTGCCCAGGGATTAACCTGCACCAGCTCAGGTCACTCACCCCGAGGACCCGGGCTCTCTCTCAGCCCAGCCATGGTGCGGGCTGGTGTCCAGAGCTCAGGTGCCCCCCTCCGTGGGATGCTGGCAGACCCTCCCCACAGGCCCAGAAACCCCACCACAGTGCCTAACAGGGAGAACAGCTGTATAATTTCCAAACTGTGTAATGACTTGGCTGGTTAGCCATGGGAACTTTCTTACTGTGATACCCAGAGCAACTGCAGAGTAAGTTTACCAGGACTTGTAGAGAAAAAAACGGAGGTGAATAAAATACCTTTGAACACTTCTGGTGTTATCACATGAGATGATGCCTATTCATAATGTGTTTGCAACAGAGTTTGCACTTTCACACTAGGAAAATGAGTCTTTCATGGCCTGAAATATCTACCTATCTTTAGGCTTCTTTAAAAAATAAATGCAGGAACAAGCCCTTTAAAAGTTGGTGAGGAAACAGAGTTAAGGGACTGGCTTCACCCCCAGATGAGTTAGTGATGGTTTACAAAAATCAGTTGCACAATTGAGTTAAGAATAAAGCGGTGTCTGGAGAAGGGATGCAAAAACAGTGGGACTAGAGGCTATTAAAAATACTTTTCCTGTCTCATAACAGGAAAAGGCTAGCTGAGAACATTTACTTAAATTCTTCTTATGAGAATGTTTATACTTGTATTAGGATAATCCTTGTGGGGCTGATTTGATCTTGGCCCTTAACGTGTTTAACCAGCTTTGTGTCAGTGAGAGACAAGTTACAGTGGAGCCATGTTGTTTGAGATGCTTGCATGCTTGCATTTTTTCTACTAAAAGAGAGAATTTCTCCTCAATTTCTAAGCGAAATATCAGATTATCTGATTAGGGAAAAGCACATGTAGAAAATATAAGTTATCAAGTGAGGACAGCTTTAGCAAAATATTTTTTCAAAACTTAAATATCTAAATTTTCAGCTATTAAGTTTCTCTTAGAGTACTTACAAATCAAGGGAGACCAAGCAGCAATAATACCTCCACAATGCATAGAGGGTTTTGAGTAGGTAATTTGCTTTTTCTGTAAATCAGAACATTATATTTAGCACATACTGTGTTTCCCTGTGGGTGCACAGCAACGGAAGTCAAAACAAACAGACACAAAGCATTTTTAAGCAGCATTTAAGATGATGCACTGCCTGTTTGAAGTGACAAGTTTGTACATTGCAGTGTAGGGCTAGTATTTACCTCTCCTTTATAATTTTAAAGTCTGTGTTGGTTTATTTTCACTCTGCTCCATGTGAGACGGGGATATTTTGAAGCCTTTTGGGAAAAAAAATACTCATTGTAACCACCCAGCATGAAATTTTAAGTGTTTGGAAAGGAAACTCTCTGTCTTGAAGCCCACTTAATCACCCTTTACTTGGGACTGCTTTTAAATACTCTTCTACTGCAATGGCAGAAACTTCTCCATACCAGTTTTGAAGCCAAATGTGTTCAATGTTCATTTTCATGAAGAACCACTCATAGCTACGAGGCCACTTTCTTACCACCGGGTGCCTGGAAGGACAAAGCAAAAAAAGAATTGAAAAGATGTGCCAAAGCATATGCATAGTCTGCTTTTTTCTTCAGACTGGTGTGCTCAGCCAGAGTGAAATCTGGGACCTGAGAACCACCACCATTCATCATTTTTTGCCTTCCTTGCAGTAAGGTTTATGATCTTCCACACCCCAAGCTGGCGAGAACTGCAATGAAGGCAGCCAGCGAACACCACCTTCCCCTGGTGCAGAACCCCACCTCTAAAGGCAGATGTTGTTTGGTCTCTGAGTGAAAAACAGTTAGAGGAGATTCTCTGAATGTGCGTCAGGGTTGTGCTTATACCTGTTCAAAGGAAACAGCATTCTGAACATATTACATCTTTGGTAGCGGTCGTTGTGGTATGGCAGGAGAGCTAATAAATCTAGCTAGGAGGGAGAGCACAGCCTCTTTGAGCTGTTGCCTGCTATAGCCTTCTCAGCCTGTATTTCTGTCCCGTTTCTTGGGCCTGCCCTTGGAGCTAGCTCAAAGAGACCCTCCCTGCCAGCAATACTGGGTGCTGAGAGAGTATCGCCTCTGGTCTACTCTGGATCCCAGTCCATCCCGGTTTCCCAGCAGTATTTGACTGACGAGGCAGGGTATGCCCAGAGGACCATCCCTGGCAGCCTGTGTGGGAGGTGCATGCCCCCGCTAAGGTTCGGGGTTTGCACGCCTGTTATTCTGAAGACCCAGTGGAGGGCATGGGGGCACATCCCGGGGGTGTGTGTATGTGCCGGGGTTGTGCTTCCATCTGTTCAAAAGAGACTCTTTGGTAAGTATTACGGCTTTGGCAGCAGTTGTTGCGGTACGTCAGGAGAGGTAATAAAACCTGTAAACCAAAGGCAGCAGAGCTCTGCTCTGTCTCCAAGTAGGGGGCTGTGGCTGAAGAGCACTACCTGTCCTGAGGTGGAGAAGAATCATTACAGGTAACAAATACACCCAGGATTATACAGAATCTCTCCTTGGAGCCAGGTGAAATATTTTCATAGCCCCCAGATTATAAACCATGCGCCCTACCAGAGTCCAATACTGACTTAATTGCATTTCCATATTTCGTTACCTCAAGAGTCAAAAGGAGGTCACACAGCTCTGCCTGTCGTTCCAAGCCACACAGAACCCAACACGCTTCATGGCCCCAAAGTGAAGATCAGGCTTGTTACTACTCAGATTTTCTGTACCAATGGCCACTTCCGTCTATTTGTCTCAAACCTGTAGGTTGGAGTTTACTGCGCGCCTGTTACATACAGACCTGGAAAAGATTGCTTGCTTGGCAAATTCCACTTCCTCTGGAGGCACCGTGACCATCTGTCCCGTGAGAGTCAGCCTGGAGCACCTTGGATCCTCTGGATCGATTACATTTTTTCTGTGCACAGAGAAAAACGGTCATGTGTAATAGCTTGGTTTCTTTGTGAAGAGTTTTTGGAGAAATCTGAACTCCTGCTCACATAAAAAAAGCTGCAATATTTTGTCGAGCCTTGCAGGTCTTTTCTACACCCAGCTGTAACATTTCAGGGGGCTCTTGAAGGAATACTCACCTGAAACAGATCTCTTCAGTAGATACTTGCTTAATTTATGCTCTTAAAAACTGGATTAATATATGCCAGATTGTAAAAAATGTGAAAATGGGAGTTTTCCCAGACATATGTACAGACCTGAATTCAGGAATCTGAAAAGAACTAGTGAGATGGTTAGTCTATGCCTATGCCAACAAAATAAGCATGAACACATGTATTTGTGTATAAAACATAAGGTCTTTTCCTTGTGCCTATCCTAGAAACTCAATCCTTGTTCATTTTTACCCACTTTTCAACTCCTTTACACCAAAGAGACAAGTAAGATCTATTAAAAAAAAAAATTCTCCAACTGCCTTCATCCTTCAGACCAAAACAGGGAAGAGAAGGTACTTGTTGCTTTTTGGCTCTTTCTATATAGTAATAATAAATAACTCCCATTAGTAGCTGCAGGGCAATTGCTGACTCTGACATATATAATGGAAGGATATAAATCATAAGTAAATTGACCAGTCACAAAAAAAAGCTGTAGGAGATTACTGCAAAGGCCTGATCCTGGCAAGTGCTGAGCAGCCCCAAATCTCATTGCCAGCAGTTTGAAACTGCTCAACATCTCATGGGACTGTCTCCCCTCATAAGAACATAAGCCCCAAAAATTACATTAGGAAATGAAGACTGCATTTCTTCTTCGCTATGTTTTAATCTGATGCAGCAAATCACAGTAAATTACATCTCATCTGTGTGCGATTTTACTTAAAGATCTTGGCTTGAGCCCTTTAGCCTTAACTGTGTGCAATCTGCAACAGATTTTTTTTTTTTTTTTTTTTTGGTTATAATTCTCAATATGTGTCTATTGCATCCAGAAAACATATGGGCATCCTCCTGCAGCTAATTTAACACCTGCAGACTCCCCACAGATGGTTATGAAAGACTGTATAGCTCACTGAATAAAGTATCTGCTTTTATAGACAGGGCCATGAACAGAGATACGCAAGGAAGTATAGCAGGCTGACTGATACTCAGCTATGCCCAGTAAGCACTTGGCACAGTCTGCAGCCTGAGCTCCAAAGAGCCATTTGCAGTCACACCATCTCTGGGATGTTCTTCCGGCACCCTGTTCGGTTTGGAGCAGCAGTTGTCTGAAGGGGGTGTTCATCTTAACGACCTCTGGACAAACTCCACTCTTTTTCCTTCACCACACTTTCTGCTTGGGAGGAAGGGCAGCAGCCAAAGATTAAGCTCAAACTTTCTGTTCAGTAAATAATGGCCTAATTTTCTCTAGTACATTTTGGTTTTTTTTATTCTGAATTAATAAATTAATGGTGTTCTGAGTACCCAGAAGTCTGCATTCCCTGCCCCAGCACTGGGTTTATTTCTATCAGTGTATATTCAGAGCACAAACTTGTCTACCTGGTCACCTTGGCACGCTGTAGATCCTCAGAGCTAACTCCTAGTGCGTGCTGAAGGTGCCATTTCCCAGCTGGCTGACAGTGGCCTGAGAGTGTCCCGTCCCTAAGCAGTGCAGCTCCGTGCCCCGGGGACACCCGTGGCTCCTGGCATTTCTTTTCCGTAGGCTTCGGGTGTTGTGTGGCCGCTCAGTGTCCAAGGTCCAACGAGAAGCTCACCCACCAAAACACGAATAAATACAGGCGAATACAGTGCATATAGCTGTGGAGAGAAGAGCTGAATCCCACAGACAAGGGGTGTCCGCCGAGGGCCTGTCTGTCCAGCAGCCAGGGCAGTGCAGATTCACACTCCTGCAACAGTCGGCCCTGGGTAGCAGAGCCCTAAAATCCATTTGAAGTGATCTCCTGATTTATTGTTACCTTCTGCACTTAATACTGTATCAACACCCTCTATATATGTTTATATATTTAACTTAATGATTCTTAAAACAACGGAAGCGGAGGAACTTCTCACTAGCGGCATTTCAGTTCAGAGGATTGCTTTAAACAAAAACTGTGTACCTGTGTGTGTGAAACCATTTCCTCCGCAGCCTAACAGTACCATAAAACAACTGAAGAGCCGGGAAAAGCTGGCATACTTGCAAGTGCCCTTCTTGGGTATAGCTCCTAGGTAAGACATGGGTAATTACTTTCAGAGAGGAATTAGAAAAGGATTGTTATTAAAGGATATCTGCATTCCACAGAGGGGATCAAGATGATAGATTTAGGTGTGATCAGGAGAACTGAGAGATTATGGTCCAACACCTTCTCAGGTTTCAATTATTTGAACTTTTTGTGTAAGTACATGTTTATTCTAAAAGCATACTCATTGATTTTGAGTAGGCAATGACCTGACATTACTGTGGTTAAGCAGTGAATCTTGCCTGCCTTTGCTGAGACGATTTTGCCTGATAGAACTAGTGTCAGATGTGACTCTTCCCCGATTTACAGGAAAAACTGCTCTCCACATATTTGGCTCTCCACAAAACCCACACACTGTACATCCATATCTGGAATGGTTTATTTCTGTTTTCGTCCCTGTCTCCTTCTCCTGTTTGCAGTTTTCTCTATATTCCCATGAGTCAGGGTGTTACACTGATCGACACAGAGAGTACTATTTTCTCAGTAAAAGTTATTCAAACTGAATTTTGCACATTGGAATAATATTCTGGAGGGTCAGTTTGTTTTTCTGGGAAATGAGGCAAACAAATTAGTTGTTGAGATTATGCTAGATGCAGTTTTGGAAGAGCTGAACAGGACAATGATACATTTGAGTTCAGTACACTGTGTTACTACTATGTTGGCTTTGCTTTTAGCACTGCCTCTTATCATAGGTTTTCTGTTTCAGAATAGGAACCTTGTATTCTAATCTTACATTAGCATTGGTATTTTCTTTATCAAAGGAGCCCTTCGTATTCTGAAGTAAATCTGATTCTGCATTGTTTTGGGAATAGTATTTCCCTGATAACATGTGATTACTTTTATACTTTTTTAACAGTCAAAAATCACTAAACTTACAGCTACCACTTCTAACTCCACTGTGAACAAGTCTTGAATTTTCAGTGCTGTTACCAGTGCAACTAATGTAAATGCAGGCTTTCCTACCTAGGAGTAAAGGAATATAGCCAGGGATGTAGCTCATATTTTTATTAAAGATAATAGAGAGATACCAGGGATAAATAGGTATATTTACTAAAATATTCCTCCCTCACATCTGTAGAGGCCTAGTCATGCATTCACTAGCCACTTCTTGCCTTCTGTATAAACAAACACATCTTCAGCTCTCAGCCCTTGAGTTCCTTTACTCTTTGTTGGCACAAGAACAAGTGGGTGCGGAGGAGATGCTTTATCGAACATTTATGTGCTGCTGGCTGGGGGCGAGGGGGAGGCAGAGCCAGGGGGAGACATGACATGCCGGTGACACTGTCTCTGTGCCGAGAAAACCCAAGGTGGTTTCTCAGGCCCTGTCTCCACCAGAATCAGGTCCTCTGTCTCCCCGGGGAGGATTTCATGAAGGCTATGATAAAATATAAACTGAGGGGAAGAGAAAGCAGGGAACTGTGTAAGGAGACCAAGAAACAGGGAACACATTTATTTTTTTATGTTTGTTTAAAATGCATACACCTTGTTGCAGAAATCGAGGGAAGCCAGATTAAAATGGAAGAAGATTCAGTTTATGCATTTTATAAGAACACAGTGCATTAAGAGAGACCATCTTAATTATTCATCTGATTTGTGAAGAGAGAAGAATTGACTGTCTCCATTCCTCTGCTTACGGTGACCAAACTAGGTAGGCCAAGTTGGACCCAGTCTGGGCAGTTGTCTCTTCCAAGCATGTGAGTTGAGAGCACGAGCTGCACTCACTCACAAAGGTGCCAACTTTACTGAGCCTAAGGAGAAATCTGTGTCCAAGTGAAGTACGTTTCCCAACAGAGACGCAATGCTGTGAGGTGCACTGCTGATGAACACGTCCCACTTATTTTACTGCATACCACTTCTGCACTTTCTGGGTCATGGTTCAAGCGTGGTTCAGAGGAAAGAGTGCCACCTACTCATTAAATTGTTTACTACACCAGCCATCTCTTGGATTTTAATTAGAAGGTTCCTATACAACAACTAGCCAAGTCCAGATCTAATGAACCCGTAGTTCAGGCTGATGCGGTTATATCGGCACACAAGGTGATGATGTTGGGACTTGGTTAGGATTCCCTTTCACAGTTGAGATCTCTGCTTTGACTGATGATGCTCTGTCTCCTGGTTTCTGACCAAAAGTATCCCTGAGTGTTATGTTCATTCTCAGCCTCTGCAGTCCGTTACTGAGGTGAAACAGATACGGCACTGAGCAGCAGAAAAGACAAAATAGGAGTTTGGAGAGCATTTGGGAAGGAACACCAGGTCTTCCCAAGAATGAATCAGTAGGAGGAAGCCAGAAGGGTTCAGTAACGCTCTAGGGACTGGAGGGAGGAAGCAGGAGTCTATCAAGGTGAATCTCTCTTCTTCCTCAGCCTCATTTTCCCACAGAGGAGCTGCCAACCTTCTCCTCCACCCCCATGAGGAAACAGGACCTTCCATCCTCCCTGTCAAGATCCATAAATTCTCCCCATCTGGCCTGAACACAGTTATCCATGCCCTCTGAGAAAGCACTGCTTCTACATCTCCACTTCTTTGAGTAGAATGGAAGAGAAAAGGAGTTAGGAAAGAGCTTTCTCCTATTGTAGAAATGGAGAGCCAGAGAGCCAAGAAAACCCCAGAGAACAGTTTTCCTACATTATTTTTCTACTTTAGAGCATGCAGCTCGTGTGTGGCATAAGGGCAGTGTGGCAATGCCTGTCTCCATGGTTTCTAACCTTCCTTATAGCAGCAGCAGCAGCCATACAAAGCCATGCAATTAGGAGGTGGGGACTGGA